AATTCGCTAATGCCATGTTCTTTACTACACATTAAATTATATTTTTCTTCAAGTCTTTTGTTTTTCACTGAGCGTTGATGTGTGGCTCTGATGAATTCGTTCAAGAAATTGAGCTGTAACAGTGGAATAATACTTTAGTGAAAAAGTTTGCCTTCAGTGAGGAGATAGTTTTGGGTTTGTTTGACCTAGCATTATAAAATCAACTACCCATTAGCTATCTCCGTCATTCCTCTACGCAAAAACAAATTTCTTCATTTAAACAGGATTTAAAAGGTAAAAAAAAAGATATTTTTTAAAGCGGTCATGTCCTGTTGAGTTGTTAGTGCATCCAATCACTCCATCATTCACTTGTTTATTTTTTTGATACATTTTTTTTGTATTATTATTATTTTGTTTGTTTGTTTGATACGTCTTAAAAATTCACCACACAATCTCTCTGTTAGTCAAAGTCAGCAACATGAAGCATATAAACACAATGCTACGATCAGTCAAAGTATGGGCCGTCTATAGAGATCCCTAATGCTGCAGGGGCAGCTGCTTCTACCCAGTACGCCTTAATGGCGCTGAGATTGGGCCGCACAAATTGAAAGAATACTGCATATGTTGGCCCCGTGTTGTTTTCTGGTGGAATATGTGTGGATAAGATATGAAACAGAGCGCCGCACAGGGGGCACCGCAACCCGTCGGCGGCATTCCCTCTGTTATAGGTGAACACTAAGCACACCTCGTGAATTGGGTTACGACAGCACGGTAGGTATTTGGCTGCCCAGACCAGCCCTTGGGGTGCTCCTTCGTGCTCATGGCTTAAAGAGAGAACAAACAAAAAAAAGATATTTTATGTCTTTATCTCAGTATCAATGAATACGGAAAGACACTGCATTGCCTGAGCTGCGTTTGCTGGGCAAAGGAAAAAACCTACACACCTTTTACTGGCGTAAAATGGCTTGGGGAAATAAACCCCAGCCGTTTATTGATATAAACAATTAATTATCAATTTTTACAAATGCAGAGTGTTCTGCCCAGTAAAGGTGCGGGAATAATACATGAATAATAGGAATACAGTGATAGAATGCTGCCCCCTGCAGAACATTCATCTTATGTAATAAACTATAACAGCTATCAAGTGATAAATATATACAAGAATTAATGCAGTTGGGAACTGCTGCCCCTGCAGGTCAATTATAAAATGATAATTTAAATTATAATTATATTAAAATATATGTTGCCGATAAGCCCTTGTAATATATCGTGTCTATTTTCCCTACTTCTTGAGCTTCCTTTATCACAGCTTTCACTAAGTAAAAGACTTCCTCTGGTTGTAATACGAATCTCGATTTTCCGTAACATCTGTCATTATGGCGTTCTTCTATATGGGCTTTTGATTCCTTGTCGAATACTATCGCACTCTACCACATAGTTTTAATCCCTTACAAAGAAACTCAATACGAACACAGGGATATGTACAAACGATTAAAGGGTTGTTACGGCACAAACGAATATCTGGTAAGGATTACAAAAAAAACGAGGAAACAAAGAATCTGACACGCTTACATTAAATGCTTCTACAACAAAACACCATTGGCTTACCTTCTGTACCCGGTTCACCACCAAATTGTCGTGGGTCTAGAAGAAGAGTCACAAGTAGTTCTGGTACGCAGGATCTTTATTCGACGCTCAGTAGTTTTGCAAGGTTTCTTCTAGGCTGCACAACTCTAGTTGTATCTGAACTAGTCTCTTCATGCTCTCTCGGTGTTCTCTCTTTCTAGCTAAAACTGATCCTTATTTATAGAGAAAATTAGCATAAATCTAGAATATATTATAGAAACCAGTTTATGACGAGTTTCCAGTAAAAGTACTGAGGATAAGAATAATTTAGCATACGAGCCTTAAAAACTCGAGAGCCTTAAAAAGTAAAGGGCTCTTCAGAAAAGGATTAGTTAAACAAAGCGTTGATGATCTTCGCTTGTGTTCTAAGTTCAAAACAAACTGTGCTATAGAAATCAAAGTCACAAAAATATCCGCACTAAAATCTGCTACACTCTCATTTGGTCTGTTTCCTAGAGCTAAGCTCTTGTCTTAAAACCCAATCATCGCTTCTAGAGAGAAAGCGTTCCTTAAACAACCCACACAGCTCTTGAAAGGTAGAAAACTTTTCGTCAAGCGTAAAGTACCAAGTTCTCGCTCCATCAATTAAACTAATTGGGAAGGCGGCAAGCCTTTGTTTTTCGTCCCATGAATGAAAATCGGCAAAAGAATTAAATTGCTCTAAAAACTCTAAAGCTTCTGCTTCGTCTCCTGAGAAGATCGGACTTTTACTAAGACCTGACGTATTCTTTTGAATAGGATTAGGTTTGGTCATATTTTCTTTTAAGTTAGCATTAACTGCTAACAATTCACCATGATTTTCGTCGGTATGCTCTATCAGCGTAGTTTGTAATTGTTCAAACGATTTTTTTAGTACTGCTACTTATTCTTTATTAAGGGCTGTTACGTTCTCTTCTGCTTCAGCCATTCTAACAGTTTTTGTTTTCATAGTATGAATAGGATTTGAACAAGTTTTACTTAGAGGTAAGGTTTTTTCCCGATGTTAGATACACGGTGAAAAATCTTTTAGTCAAACAAGGCTCAACTTAGTCTTAGGAGGAAAAATCAGAGGGAGTATTAGAAATGAACTTAATATAAACAATAAGCCCACTCGTCAAACCAGGTTTGTTTGACTTTGTGTTAGTTAAAAATACAAAATGAAACAAAGAAATGCATACAAGTAAACATAGTACTAACTGTAAACATTACGTTTCTTTGTACTAGTCGACAATAAATTACATGCATTATCATAACTAGTTGACAAATGACAAGAGTATACACTTTTTCAAAAGGTTCTTTCCTAATTAGCCCGTTGTGTGTTCGGTCTTTATAGGCCGGGAATGCTGTCACTAGTCTTCCATCTCTGATTACGCCAAACATGGAATCTTATAACGATTCTTTCATTGATTGGTTCCTAGGGTAACAATTTAGCCTTGATGACTGGGATGGGGTGGACTAGCTCGTCCCACGTCCACACATGTAGCCTTTCACTGATTTTCTTTACTGGTCTTTTATTCGCTTCGGTTGTCTTCTTTTACGCGGTTGTTAATTGTGCTGTTATTTCTACTTCGCTCTATTCGTCTCGTACTTACTTCTTCTCTTTATCTTCTTCGTCTGTCTTACATTGTGTGTTACGAGCACTTAAGTATTAGTTATAGTCTATTGAAAGTGACGTCAAGCCGATAATGTCCTGACGCTACCTGTGATTGGTCAATGCGACTCAGAGGAGTCAATGAGCTAGTTCCCAATTCCCTAGGAGGAATTTGAACTAATCCAAATCTCTATGATTTACTAAACTCTAAATCGCATAGATCATAAAGGAGTCGCTATATACTTTACTTAACTAAGTGCCACTTGAAGTGGATTTAAGTTTGAAACAAAAATGAAGGAGATTATTGAGACTAAAGTTGGGACGTCAACAAACTGTTGACACACCCGATTATGCAGTACTCTACAGAGAACAAAAGCTTTAGAGATGTCAAAAGTGAATACAATATTTGCTCAGATGGCCAACAACTCCACGTGCTGAGCTGTCGACCTTAATCTTAAGCAAACCAGTAGGACTGACATTTTAGTTCCGAGAACACGTTTCTTGCTTACCGATCAATTGATACTGTTTAACTTTGACACGCGTTTCTGTTCTCCCTTGTGACATGTGGAACCAAAATGTCGAGCCTATTCATGTAATCCTAGAAACAACACACAAAGCAAACAAACCTACTTTTCTTAATTAATTAATTGATTCCTACTCAAGTGTCGTATTTGATAATCTGTTTGCATGTTGATCTACAATAATCAAACTTGGCAAAAGATTGTCCTATGACAAATGATAACCGGCCATGGTTATAATAACTGGAGCTCGTGCAACTAGCTTGCACGCCAGGGGCCTAAATATAAGTGAAGAATAAAATGTATAGGTTTACAGAGACGAATAGAAAAATGTCCTAGTAATTTTAGTAATGACTGTGTCATGTGTGCAAGGAGATTGTGGGAAAACATGCTACGCGCAAACTAGTTTGTGTTAAATTGCCTGTTAATGTAATGTTTAACATATTTTTTACTTAATTACTATCGTTTTTGTTTAAAGGTATGCTGGCTCTCCGTCCAGACTTTATATACGACATTTTATTTTTATTTTTTCTTTATTTCCTGTAGCATGTTCAATTTGATCTCTAAACTCATCAGCAACTTGTGTTAATTTTTCTAGAGGATCTGATAAAGTATTTACTGCAGTTTGGACACTTTCATTGTCACATGGTAAAAAATATTGTAAAGCCTGAGGGGAAAATCCTTCTAATGCTTTTTGGTTATATAGCTTATGGTTATATAACTGCCAACAATGCTCATAAGAGTTAGCTACAAAATCTATATAATAGCGTAAATCATAATAAGCAAACAAGCTTCGAGCAATGATCTTCCCAGATTTGTTTATATGCTTCTCGTAATCGTTGAACTCGCTATCTTTATTATGATCTAAATAATGAAYGATAAAGTTGTGTAAGCTTGGGGATGCAATTATCATGTTCTACTCTGTGTGTATTGTTATAATGTCTTTCAAGCCGTTCATTTTCTGGTAAGGCAACATAGTCGGGTACCACATGTAAATTTTGTTTACAAAGGTGACAAGGAATCAAAAAATGTCTCTTTCTCGCATACAGGTAGCGTAATTTTCATTCCCCATGTACCGGCTATTTGCAACATGGCGTTTTGCTTGAATAAACTCATTTCTAGCTTCTTTGTAACTCGGTCTAACATTCATTCTATAAGTAACAATATGCTCACCATTCACCACTCGATGTTCAGCATTACATTCATCCATAACAGCTATCTCGTACTCTTCGTTCACGTTGCAGAAATCATCGTAAGCCTTTTCCAATTCCAACATCAATTCTTTAGCAGTTTAGCTGTTGCGTAATAATGCTT